CTTATAGGATGGATGTAAACAAGGAATCTGGGGGTGTGGACCTGCAGGCAGGTCACATGGGAGATAATCTGTCTTACAAGAGAGGTTGGTCTTGGATTCAAATGGATTATAAGATCAGCCAAATAGCCAACATTTTAGCTAAACAAGGGACAAATAAGGGAGAGATTTTTGGTCTGCTTTGTAATTTTGTATTCTGCACCCTTTATTTTGGGTGGTCTTCACTGTTGTACCATTTTTAATCATCATTTGAAAGTTACCGTTTCCAATCCAAAAAATAAAAAGAAAGAAAAGGAAAACTCTTGGCATCCTCTTATCATTTAGACTCCATCTATCCCAGATCAATTCACATATCTTCCAAGTGCTTTCATAGAAAAGGAACCCTGGAACTCACTCCATTAGAAAGGATTGGAATTGGAATGTAGGGGTAGCAGCTTAATCTCATATCACTTGCCTCAGAAGAAGGATCAGTGGTCACCTTCTTAGATGTGCATAACCTATTGATCTTTTTTATCAGTTGCATAACATATAATATTACTCTTTTTAAGTCAACATTTAAATTAAACAACTTTGCATAGATTTCCAGCCCCACCAGTTGTTTTCCCAAAGCCAGATTCTCCATTACTGCCCTTGGAGGCACTACTGCACTAGTTAATAAACTTCTCATGGGAGAGAGTGACACCTTCCACACATTGGTCTAAAGGATGAGGAAGCAACTTAGAAACCTGAGAATCTCAATCAAACTCTTTGATCCATATTCATTATCAAGAATTTTCCATCATAATTTTGTGCCTTCACTGTGAAACTTCATTGTGATTTTTACAGTAATCTACTATTCATTAGACTAAATTGTTTCTAATACTACTTTCCTCCCAACCCAACAGGAAAAAAGAAGAAAAAAAGAAAAGAATGAAAATAACTATTTTCTTTCATTTCTTAACAATTTAGGGCAAGATTTAATATAAACAATATGTAAAAATGAAATTTTAGCTGTTATTGAATGATTTGAATGACAAGATAAGTTCAGCTGAGGACTGAGGCACTTCATAAAATTAATTCTCTTATGGTCTTACCAGAAGATAGGTATCTAGCATTCTTTCCTACCAACCTCTTTTTTTATTCTTTTACCTTCTGTATCAAAAATATCTAGGGAAATACTTGGGCCAAATTTTGTTTTCCTGATAGGGAATAGGAATATGCCCAAGAGAACAATCTCCAGAAACTCCTAGGAAATAATGGAAACACTCTTCTTTGATTAGATGTATTGAAGAAACAATGTTGCTGTCCACATCATCAGTTTTTTCTTATTACAACACTCTTTTTTTGTTAATATTATATGATTGTCTTGTATTTAGCTTGAGAGCCTAGTTTTTCGGTGACTTCTCTGTATAGTTGTTGGCTGTACATGGAGCATATTTGACAATTACTTGTACTCTTGTCCTTTTTTGACAAAATTAATACAATATCTTCCCTCTTTTCTTCATCAAGGTTCCAAAGTAATAAGAATAATAATGATAATAACAAGTATATCATCAACATGCTCAAGAAGAAAGAGCCAAATGTTATTTTGCTTCTTTTGTAAGCTAGGTTATTTTCTCCTGAGAGGGAATCCTAATCTTTCTACAATGTACAAGTGATATTGTAGTCCTATTTTTCTAAACACTGAAGAATGTTGAAGTTTTTGTTCTCTAACTTCATTTGGCTGCGGAAGTGAGACCCTTGTCCTTATGGTGGTGAGATTCCATCTCCTACTTTGGCATTGGTTAGATGCCAATCCCAAGGTTTAAAAGATTTTTATAACCCAACCTTTTCTTTGTACAATTTTATTCAATTCTGCAACATCTCCAGCTCCATTACTTTAATTCTTTGAGTTCCCTTCTGCCCAGCCTGTAGTATGGGCTGGAGGAACAGATATTGCCTTGCAGGCCCTTATTATCAGCTAAGGGACAAGCCTAAAGACCTATAAAGTTGACATTTTGCTTTTTGACTGTTCACCCGACTTGATCAATGGTTGGTGCAGAAAATATTCATAACAGACTATAAATTCAATGTTTTGGTTCAGCGAAAATGTCCCCATCTTATATAATATTTCTTTTTTCAGCTACCAACTGCATGTTTTTTTCCCTTCCCCACTATAAAGGAGAATGCATTGAATACTTATATGGTAACTGTGCAATGAACTTCCAACATAGGGTTCCTATAGTTGCCAAATGCGACAGGAAGCGGGTTCTTTCCACTTGGGCCCCATACTGTGGTAATGTAGTTCCAGCTGAGCATAACATTGAATTTTCTAGTGTTCGGCATCTCACTCCACGCCAATTTGTTGAGAAGTTAGCAAAGGAGCTTGGAGTACGTGGGGTCGTTGCAGGTATCATCCCGTCCAGTTCTCTGCTTCCGCCCATTTAATTTCTTCATCTTGTTGTCCATCTCATTTGTTTAAATGAGAGCAAGAAGACATAATGGTGGGATTTCTTGGCAGGTGAGAACTACAGATTTGGATATAGAGCAGCAGGTGATGCATTTGAGTTGGTAAGGCTTTGTGAAGAGTTTGGGATGAGATCTTATATTGTGAGCTCTATTATGGACAAGAATCAATGCTCTACAAATAAAGACTTCATTGATTCAAAAGACAAAGGACAAGTATCATCAACTCGTGTTCGCCATTATCTTTCTGAAGGCAATATGAAACATGTTTCAGAACTTTTGGGCCGCAAACACCGTCTCATTTTGAAGATGACAGACCAAGAAGGATTAGTTATCACGAAGAACAGGATGTCAGCTTCTAGGCTTTGTTTGTTAAATCTACCGCCCAAGGATGGTGTATATGAGAATTGTTCTCTTCTTGTTGGTGATAATATCTTCGTACCATGCAGAACAATCATTGAAACAACCTGGATCCATGTAGAATTAGATGGAGAAGGCGCTTGGACAAATGTTTTTCAAGACTGCAGATTTATCACCATTGAATTTGATGATAAAAGAGTACTTTTGGATTAAATCTATTTGTTACAGAACGGTGGATTTTTGAAACACTAACATTTACTCATTACTGCTTTGACGGATAGATCTAGTGTTGTCCATTGGAAATATAATCTGTAGTAGTTTTTTCTTTGTTTTTTGGATCAAGTTTTCTTTTATTTGCCGAAATGGTAACAAGCTACTCATAGAATTTAGTTCAGGAGGCACAGTCCGTTTTGGTCGAATGTTGTTGGAGGGATGAACCTTCGATTTGATTGCAGGACACTTTTGTTTTTAAGGTATATAAGTTTTTGGGTAAATTACAAAGACCCCCTGTACTTTGTTTTGCGATAAAAACCCCTTGTACTATGACCATGAGATAAAGACCCTCTTTGACCGTTAAGTCAGATGATGGAATGCGTTAAATTATCAAAATACCTCACCAAACTTTTTTCTATTTTTTTTTTTTTTGCCCTCTTTCTCTTAAAACCTATTTAACCTAAAGGATGATAACTCGGAAAATTGTACCTCCTCTATCTCTTATTTTCTGTCCTCAGAAAAACAGAGGAAGACACCGAAAGAGTGAATGATTGCACCTCTTCTATGAGGTTGGTGTTGGTCTGGGAGTTACTAATTAGCCATAAATATGGCTATGGCCTGCCAATGTATGTATGTGCCATGATTTAACTGGATTTCTTAGGAGCTCTATTGCTAGATCCCAATGCTTAATTGTGTTCTTTTTTTACTACTTTTTGCTTTATCTACTTTTCTTGTATATTCAATTTCCAAATATAATGTGGAAGTGTTCTTTGATGTATTTTGTCCACTAATCAACGAAACATTGTTGATAAAAAAATTCTGTAGTATTAATTCCTCCTTAGTTCCCATCGATGGGATTGAAGACAAAACACAAGAAATTGACGCCGGCTATTTTGTTTCTTTGGTACTCTGATATGACCATGATTCCTTCTCAAAACCTTTTTAATCATTAACACTACAACGGTTATGATGGTGGGAGTGGTTGTAGAGAAAGTTGTTATACGAGGAGTTGCGTTGGTCTTCTGAGCCGAATGTCAAGGTATGACCCTTGTAACCAAGCTTGCTTAGGATCAGAATCCGATCTGGTGGCCGGTCAAATGGCAGAAGATGACTCCAGAACCAGTAGCCTCAATGAAGTTGCTCCAGCTCCAAGGAATCGCATTGCAATTCAAAATAGAATTGAAGAAAACAGTGAAATGATGGAAACAAGGTCCCAGAATGCAGAGGCCATATGGAAGCGAAAATCGGAGAAACAGTGTACCTTTCATTCTCTGTATGCGTTTTCGGATTTCTTGAGCGTAGGCTTCGCAATGCATGTAGACCTTCAAAACTACTATAATCACTTGCGGCTGCATAAAACAAACACCAACTTATGTTAAGATGGAACCTTTAGAAGCTAATCAGAGAGATATGAAGATCTTTCTCTTTACGACCATTTTATATTAAGATGAACTAACCTCTTCTTTCTTCTCCTCTGGTTTAACGTTTTCTTTGTTCTCTTCATCCTTCTTAGCTGCTTCGGCCGGGGGTTTCGGGATCGGAGTAAGCAGCTAGCTCCACGTGCCTATGACTTTTTCTGAACTCTGTCCAACACCTTCAACGGATCTACCTTTGGGCCATTGTGTCATGGAACCAACCACGAGATATAGCCGTTGCTGATAATTTGCGAGATTGTATGGACCGATCCATAGATACAGCAGTTACCTGATCAGCTTGGATTTAGAGCCACTTGGACCGGTTCTGCCAGTTAGATCAAGCGCATGCGTCCACTAGGTAGATTAAATGCCAAGAATTTTTCAACTACCTACCCAACCTATTAACCATGCCAAGCATGTGCAATGCTGACATGGAAATAGATTGTTCAACAGCAGAAATATAAAATAACACAAGAAAAGGATAAAGATAAAAGATAATATTGCATTAAACAAGGACACTTTTACCCATTGGTGCAGGATATGACAATATATATATATATATATATATATATATATATTGTATGGCAAAAATTTTAAGTTTAAAAGTAATTTTTTTTATAAAGCATGATAGCTATGACATGAATCCTTGAGGCTGCCTTTGGAAAGGATGCAAATGGACTATAAATCTCAGTTCAGAGTAAATTTGCACTCTGATTCACTTTTGTTTGTGTTTGGCAACATTACATTTATGCATTGACAAATGACAAAAAACACATTTCTCAATACATATTTACATTGATAATAAGATGATGTAAAAGTACATCAATAAAAAAGAAGAAAATTTGCATTGAAGTGGACTTTTGATAAAGAAAAGGCATATGCTTTATTGGAATTCATGTTTGCATCCATTACAATTAAAAATCTATTCGATAAGAAGGTAAAGTTGTCAATGCAAAACTAACCCAACTTTACAATTTATATGAACCATTTTACACTCTACGTATTTGCATTCACACTTATTTGCATCATTTCTAAACACAGCCTTAAAGTTTAGAAAATAAGTACAGTTGGCAAATAAGAAATAGAGAAATCTGATCAATTCAAGACCAATCCAAAGCTGAACCCAACTCATTCCTTAAATTGGGGGTTCAACACCCTGGGTTGAGTTCGGGTTAACCTCAACCCGACATATCCTGGTCCAAATTCACCCCTAGCTCCACTTGTGATTTTGTCGTAGAATTTGGACACATGATAGCAGCATACAGCTATAACCCAGGGCACGGTCGGCTATCTTGTGCACGGGCTTCCTTCTATGGATCAGTAATTTCCATTGTCCCTCACAAATCAGTAGCGGACTACGGGTTTCCTTCTACAGATCACGCTATCCATATACAACTATAACCCAGGGCACGGTCAGTTATCTTGTCCATAACAAGACCGTAATATAGGCTCATAGCTATGATTTTTGGCCTTTTTGCTAGAGCCTTGTATATGGGTAATGATGGAGGGAGATTTGCCCTGACCCCTTGGCCGCGCGACACGTGGAGGCAACCGGGTATGACCTGGCCGGAGTGTCAGCTCGGCACAGCGCCATAGCCATAGCCCAAGAAGAGGTCCCGAGCTCTCCAAAGAGAACCCGTGCTTCCCAGGAGGTAGAACCCGAGCTTTTCTTTAGAAATCCCGAGCCCAACAAGGAACACTCCACGAAAGGCAAAGCCCAGACTGACCCACCTTGGGTAAGTTCGAGCCACGCTCCTGTCCGAACTCAAGACTTCACCTCACGCACCACTCCGGCACCTCGGCTCCAGGTCGCATGACTGAACAACCCTACCTGACACCAAAGAAGTCCGTACTCTGAGGCAGCGCGCCTGACTGATTAGGGATCTGACACATGACAGCCACACTTCAATGGCCACCTGCTACCGCCATCTCAGTCGTTGTAGAGACGACACCGACAGAGAAGATAGTGACGGTTACGTCTGCCCTGCAGAGGTTTGGGAGTGAGTGCACCAGGGCGGTTATAAAAGGCCCTCTTCCCCCAGGGTAAAAGGGAGTGATATCCTGCGCCTTCTGGTCTAAAAGAGCTTCTCATCTCCCTTCCTTTCTTAGAGTGCTAACTTGAGCTTCGGAGTGTTCCCGCCGGGTTCTTCCCCCGGGGATCTCTTGTTTCCTCCCTGTTTCAGGCATCTCCTACTCTGTCAGAGGCAAGGTTACCGGCAGCTAGGACCGACCGGATCGCGCATCATCATTTGGCGCCGTCTGTGGGAAACGCTTCAA